TTTGGTACCTAGTTCTCCTGCACCTGAGTCATCGAGCATGGAGCGAGGAAAAGATCGTATAAGCTGTCCTGCCTTCATGTTTCTACTTTTGGTTTGCGTGGATCAATCCAACACCCATGGACGCCCATGGATCTGGTATGGACTCAGTCAAACTCAACATCTGCCAGCTTCTTCAACTCGACCTGTTTTGGAGCTACACACCCAACATTGGTTCAAAGCAGAGGATTGGAGATCGGTAGATTAGGTGCTGCACCAGGGCTCTGCCCTGGTCGGCAGCCCGGGTGACAACACCTGGGCGACGGGATGATGACGACCTCCACCTTCATCTCTCTAGGCACCTGAGATGTCCAAAAGAAGTCTGTCAATGACAGGGTTCTCTTGACCAAGTGAAGCAGAAAACTTGGAACTGCTGGGCCTTTGGCTTTCAACGGTCCCCCTTTCTCTGAATATGGCAGAACGCTCCGCTCTGCTCCACTCTGCTCCGCTATTCCAATGCAATGGAAAGTGGACAGTGTAAACCCCAGACGATCCATGGTGGCGCCAAATATCCACCTATACCTTCATCTAGTCATTCATCTACATTCCTTCGTTTCACCACCACCACCAGTCCAGTAGGCCAAGTAGGCCACCAGTCCAAGGCAAGGCATCCGTCCCCACTCCGAAGCCGCGAGGACGGATGGACCGATGGACGACGGAGCGATGCGCCCGGAGGCGGGTCGGACCGGTCGACCTGGAGGTCGGCAGGAGGGGTGGACCTGGGTTCGGTACAAGAAGGTCAGAAGAAGCTGAGGACCCAGCTTGTTGGGGGGTGATGTCCTGTGATTTTGGTTGGTGTTTTGGTATGTTTGGTTGATGCGACAGGTCTGATGGACTTGGTCTTCGGACTGTTCTGGTTTCTTCTCCGTGGGCCTTTGTGTGACTACTTGGGTCCCTTGTGCGGTCGCCGCTCGATTTCGCAGAGGTGACTACTTGGTATCATCGGCCAAGAAACACACACGCGCCATCCTAGGAAGAATATGGAAGAATATGAGTTTCGAGCATAGTTGTTTACGTGTTGTTATGGTGTGGTCGCCTGAATGTACCAAACCCCAAAAAGGCCAAAAACACCTTTGGAATACAACCATTGGGCATATTTGTGTTTTTTTTCCCATTGGTGCGTTGGGAGGCAGAAGCATTTCGGATCGTTTCGGGACTGACACTTAACAGATGTATTTTTTGTTTGTATGTCTGTGTGTGGCCCTGATGGTGACTTCTAAGAGCAGGATTGGGGTAAGGCCGGTAAGACCTGGCTTGTACAAAACCTGTGCTTTTGGCTGAAACAGCCTTTTGAATCTCTCAAATCAGCTGCAGCTCAAGCAAAAGGGATTGTTGGTTTCGATGAGATCCGACGAGACGCGCGGCTGGAGAATTCCGCAAGTGCAGGGAAAAACATGCCAAACCCAGACACGACTAATGGGACTGCCATATATGCCTGCATTGACCTTTGTGGCACCACCCCAATGTGTGGATATCAACATGCCAGTCCCAGACAGCGTCGTGTCTGGGTGTCTGGGATTTTACACTAGAAAAACCAGGTCGTTCCCATTTTTGTTGCACGGTCGTTCCAGGAAGTCTACCAGCACCATCACTGCCAGGTCGACCCTTTGATGGAGGGTTGGGTGGGAAGGGTGGGAAGGGCACGAAGACAGGTGTCAATTGGTGACCTGGCAGGTCAACCGGTGCTGGTAGGGATGTCAAAGGGATGCCAAAGGGTCCGTTGAACCCCCAGGCCTTCGCCGCGTGGGGCGCCCGGGGAGCCCAGCCAGCTCCGCGCGCGCCGCGCGGCGCGTGCCGCGCGTTCCCCGGGCCGCGGAGCTCGGGTGGGGCGGTGGAGGGAGGATCTGTTCCAAAGAGGATGAACAAAGGTTCCTGGAAAGGTGACTCTTGGTTCTGGGGGAGAGGATGATTCGTTTTTTGATTCGTTTGTTCGAGTGGCCTCCTTTTCAAGGCCAAGTCTCGGCCCCCTGGGTCCCGCAGTTTGGATCGAAGGAATCGAGGCTGGTGACGACCCACCGGGAGGCCGAGTAGTGAGACCAGCTGAGCCCAACCAGTTCCAAGAGTCACATTGGCATTGGGTGCTGTGGCTCGTCCTATCCAGCTGTGGATGTGGATGTGGATAATGGGCACCCCGGAACCGGCACCCTCCATGGAGTCCGCACCCCGTCGAACGTGACTGCTGGTGGCCTTTCTTTTCCAACACTGCTGGTGGATACCAGTCGTGCATGGTTGGAAGAGAGATTGCTGGTTGGGGGGGCTGGTAATGCCAGGTGGTTTGCAAACGAAGTCTCTAGACTCGTGTCCAACGCCAGGTGGATCGAAACTTTGCTTTCTTCGAAGCTATTCGGCTGTGGATCAAGGATACCTACCAGCACCTTCCAACAGGTCTCCTTTGGAGGTTTGTTAGGCCCTAACAGGTTTCAATTGGTGACCTGTTGGAGGTGCTGGTAGGCAACACCTACCAGGTGGACTAGTCGTTCGCGACACATGTGGGCTATTGTGGACTGGTTCAGGTGGGTCACGACCCATCCCCAATTGGTCAAAACATCATTTTTCACTTCATCCGAACCAGCGAGACTTAGCTTCGTCACCAGCGAGACGGGGCTCGACCCCCCCGGTCTCGGATTCGGCCACGCCATTCTGCGACGCCATCAGGACCGAGATCAAGAGCCTGAAGAGGTGAGCATCGGAGAGGACCTGCTGTGGGGTGGACTTGGGCTGGCTAGTCCAGAGAGGAGACCCAGACAGGATGGTCCAGTATGTAACATATCGTATGATATCGTATGTGGTGGCCTACCATGGTCCCTCCCATTAGTTGACTCGGAACCGGTGGTGGCCATCTTTTCTGTGGGCTCGTGACTGTGCGCTTCCAGGAACTGGACAGTGAGATGTCGCCCGATGAGATCGACGAGAAGGTTCGGAGCGTCAGATCGACGAGAACCGCTTGACTGAACCAGGACCCTCCTGTCGGGGTGCCCTGTCTGGAAGCCTATATAGGTAGTGTGGGGTAGTCCAGCCAGGACACCCCTTGGAGGGTCCTGGTTGAAGGGTTTAGTTGAAGGGGTCGTTGTCGTTGTCAGTCCTTTCACATTCACTGTACAAGACCGGGGAGACGTTGTCAACCCCATCAGATTGATAGCGTTCGCCCAGCAGTTCTGGCCCTGTCTTTTGTGGTTCGCTCTGGGGAAATTCCAGACACCGACATCCGCCGACTCGTTTGCACCCCATCGACCAAAGAGGGGCGCCTCGCAGCCCTGAGGGTCAGTTGAAAACCACCCCATACACTCCATGTATGGAGTATGTACCAGGACACCCTAAGGGGTGTCTATTGATAGCCCCTTAGAGGTCAAGGGGTGTCGATTAACATTTGCGGGTCCAGGTATGGAATATATGCCTAGTGTACAGTGACACTGGGGACTGGTTGAAAAGGACTTGTGGGTGGCGGTTTGATTTGGCTTCTAGACCTCTCCCTTCCATGACAGAGACACCTGAACATGCACTTCCAACTATCTCGACGGCGGGCCAATCGCTGTTGGCTTCTTCCTCGATGGAGACACCCGCGCACCAGCAAAAATTGGTGGCTTTCCAAGGAAAGCCCGAAAAACACACCACGCACCGTCCGGGCGGTCCTGGCGACACCGACTCCGCCAGGAAGCGTCCTTCTTGACCGTGGCCGATCGCCAGCGCATCGGCGAGGCGGAGCACCGGAGCACCGTCGAACACCGGTTGGGACGGTTTCTGACTCACTCGTTAGGACCTCGTTTGAACGACGTGCATCGGCGTGGCAAAAATACCCACAGGGAGCAGATGTGCCAAGTGCCAAGGCATTGAAATCTTGGGTCTGTCTGAATTTTGCCTGTAAGAGTCAGTAAACAACTGGGCCCAGGTATTAGGATCAACCTCACCATTTACCAGCATAGCATCATTTTTGCAGCTAAAGGCTGGTGACCTCCATGCCCCAAGAAAAGGGTTTTTCCACCTGTGCCAGAGTTCGTACCTATTGCGACTTCGGATAGTTCGCGCGACTGGAGTTGGAGCAGTTTGACGTCCATTTGTTTCTGAGGTCCAGTCCAAACCATGGTCCTTTCTATAGCTGAGTAGAGTAGGTGTAGCTTTTGTACGATCAACTGCAGTTGAGATTGAGGACCTGAAGTGACGAGTTGAAAGATGAGGGACCCTGGAAGTTCGGACCTCCAGCTAAAGTCCTCTTAACTTTGGACCACCAGACCACACAGAACCGCACGGACCAGCCACCAGATTGATTGGTGGTTTTTTGGCTCCCATGTCCTCCGATGTCTTTCCTTTGTGACTCGGAACTCCCCCCCGCCGCCTGGGCAGCGGAGCACGTTGCTCAGGTGCTCGCGGAGCAACGCCGCCGGCGCGGACCGCCCGACGCGGCGGGACGGGGCGCAGCGGCGCCGTCAGAGCCGTCGCCGCGGAGGCGGGTGGAGGGTGGAGGGCGAGGACGTGAGGAATCAAGTGCAGCAGGTGGAAGGGAGATGGGCGAACTGGTAGAACTGATAGTTCAGAAGATGGTGAGAGTCTAGTGCGTCCAGTGTTTTGGCATCTTGAACGCAGACTTCGGCGGCTCGGAGAGTAGATGGAATGGCTAGTCGGGCTGAAAGAGCCTGGTCCCTCCCGTCTGACGGTGGTTCAATGGAGCTGGTACTCTCGGGGAAGCGCACTGGGTTTAGAAAGGGATGTTTGGATTCACCATTTTGGGATCGGAACAGATCGAGCTCGTCTTCGCTTGGGGTGGTTGGTACTCCGTCCGGAAGGGTGTCACTTAACTTCAACACAACGTCTGAAGGCACCAGGACACACTTGAGACCACGCTGGATGCGAGGACACCCGAGGAGGCAGCCCGGGCGGGCCGGACTCCGGCGCCCTGGGCAGTGCCTGGCATTCCTTCGCCTCGAAGACCAGCGAGGCGAGGCCTTCCAGCACGGGTGGTGACTGGCAGGGCTTGATGGCGTGAGTGAGTCTCAGCAACTCTCCCCCACGAATGATGAACGCACCAAAACAACCTTTGGGAGCAATCTCAGCAGGTAGCGAGGCCACTTGGAACACTGTGAAACCCATGGCCGGAAGTGAATACTGGAAAAAATTGATCGCAGTGTCTCAAAAAGGTCAGGTCAGGTCGGGGGAGCTGGCCTTCTGGACTTGATTTCCTCTTCCCCAAAACTGGCGAACGTCACAAACCGCCACCACCAACGACACCGACGTTGCCTGCAACCAGATATCACCAGGAACAATGTTCGCTACGATCGGGGCTCCTGGCATCGCTACGAACGGAGCGATCGGACGCTACGAACGTAGCTCCTGGCCGTACTACTAGGTTAACAAGAAGCTACTAGTAACAAGAAGCTACCAGGACACCCACACCAGGGTGTCTATTGATAGCCCCTTAGACTCCCTTAGAGGTGATTCGGGGTGTCCATGAACCACCCCTTGAAGGCCCTGGCACTGGCATTCTTTTCTCGCTTTTCGGAAGAGAGTCGATCACCCCAGTGTCGTAGCTCCTGGCCAAGTCGAGACACCGAAAAACCAGGTCCGGAGAGTGGACTCATCGCTTTGCGGGGTGCGTGGCGTTTCAAGCACGTGGGATGGGTCCAAAAACACTCCAATGCACCAGGAGTCGGAGTTGGGTGGTGTGGTGGGTTTGGAGTCCCATCCCAGGGGCTGTGGATGTGATGTTCGCACCCTCCGAGTCCGCACCGGGAGCTCTGTTGGCAATCGGAGATCCTTTTGGTGGTTCCTCAACTCGGTTTCCGGGGTCGACGAAAAGGGTCGCAGGCCGTTGTGGGGTCGACTCCGAGGGGAGATTCGACTCGGGGAGTCGAGGCTGTTTGGGGTCGAGAGGCCCCTGAACAACAACGTCCAAAGCGAGTTCAACAGGCTTTTCTTTTAATGGTTTTCTGGTGTTTTGCTTTCACACTTATGGAGTCTCGAGGGAGTGCTGGTTGTTTGGTGTTGTCTGTTTTGGTTCACAAGTTCGTTTTGGTGCTTTTGGATGCGCTTAATGTTTTGTGGACCCTGCTGTTACAGTGGTAGCTGAACCAAACATGCTTGAGACCCTTTTGAAGGATCCAATACCATCTGTTCGGGTTCCACTGGCCAGTCTACCCTACATCCTACATCATCCTACTACCAGGACCTTCCAACAGGTGGTTTTTGGACACCCCCTAAACCTCTAAGAGGCTATTTACAGACACCTCTTGGAAGGTCCTGGTATACATTATGTTGCGTTATACCTTAACCAATTGGGCACCGATATCGACTGACCTTTCCAGGCCTGAGGCGCCTTGGGCACGGCTGGACTCACGAGATGAGGCGCAACGGTCTGCGCCTGAGGAGCAGTGGCGTACTCCTAACTGTGCCCCTCCCTGAAGACACAGTTATGTAGACTCTTGATCAATAGAACCCTCCGATTTTTGGATTGAGAACCTCTTCAGGCCTGGGGTTTTTGCCAATCAAGAGTCTACATCAGGGACTAAATACCCTTGATGGGCTCATGGCGTCTCTCATTTTTGGGACATGCGAGTCCCATGTACGGTTTCTTTGGATGGGAGCCGACGGAGAGTCCGGGGCTAACCCTTCGAAAGGACAAAGACACCAGGAGTTACATGGAGTTGGGTGGTGTGGATCATCCCATCCCAGGGGCCGTGGAGGTGACAGGAACATCCTTTTGGAGCGAATCCACATCGACCTACCGGTGCACGGAGCTGTTCTGATCTGTGGGTCGGATAGTAAGACGAATGATCACACATCATACACCCAACCTTCTGAATCTTCGTGCAATGACTCCGGAGGTCAGGTACATCTCTCCTCCCCACTCTCCTTACAGCCTTACACCCAAAAAATCGGAGGGTCTCAAAGACCCTCCTCCTTTGGGCCATGACTGCCTCGCCTTCCCTCCATCCGAGGCCGGAGGGCGGACCTCGTCCGCCCAGCCGCGGCTGGGGGGGCTCAGGAGCGGTCCAGGTCCGTCCGGTCAGACCAGGAACTCTCCTGGCCAGTCTGTTTGGAGACGCGACCACAGGTGGTGAACCTGGGCACCGGACTTGTCACCAGGAAGCACCTGTTGGATGTTGGAGGGTGCTGGTACCTATTGAAAAGTGGATCACCCAGATCACTTTCTTTTGGGGCTCCAATGACCCTGGTGGATCCCCTACGCAGGCATTTTTTGGACATATGCTAGGTTCTGGTGACTCAGGATTTGTGGCGTCTCATGACGGGGCTGGTGCTCCTTGCTCCTGAGTGCGATGCCCCTCTGTTTTCTTAGCTAAAAAAGAAGGAACATGTGATACTGGCACATGAGATAGGACTTGGGAACACGGCCAAAAAATCACACCACAGAAAAATTGGCATGTGCTTTCGTTAACTCCTCTGCTAGTTATTTGGACCTAGTATAACTACTCTTTCTTCTACCACTAAGCAAGAACAAGTGGAAGAGGGCTCCGGGCTCACCGATTTTCCGGGACATGGCGGAGTCAGATTCGGCTTCTGACTTTCTTTGCCTCACCCAGGCCTTTTGCCGGGTCACCGCTCTTTTTCTCGCCCAACTTCACCCACAGCCTCCACTTCCTCGCGCCCGTGCCCCGTGCCGTGTTCCGCACGGCCCGACGTGGAGAGCAGCCCGAGGTGGAGAATCCTGGCAGCCCCTGGGGCAAACCACTCCTCCCGCGTACGAACAGGTGAGCCGGGGTGAGGCGAACACCGGTGGCACTGGTCCACAAGGCAAAGGCCCCTGCAGGCAACGAAGCTGAAGGACTGATTGGTTTGGGGTTTGAAAGGCTCCCAGCTTCCTGAAGGACAGGATGTGGGGTGTTGGCATCCTAAAGCTGCAACAAAAAGATACACTCTGTTGGCCACCTGAATTGGGCAAAAGGATCGTAAGGCGAAAGGTTCTTGTTCTTCAGACTCGTGCGACTGGTAGGGAATGAGGGAATGAACCACCCCTGTAATTAATAGATACCCCAAGATCAATTCCCTTATTCCGTACTAAGCACACACCAGTCCGTATTCTCATGCTTTGATATGAGGCGTCCTTCGCTTTCGGGAGGACCGATTGACCCATCGATGCTTGCGACAGCTTCGGACGGCCTCCTGGTGACCGACTACCGCGGGGTCGGTCGTGCTCGGACGCGCAGGTCACGCCGGAGCTGCTGCAGTTGTGGCAGATCCAGGTGCGCCACGGTGCGTGGGGAGGTCAGACATGGAACCGAACTGCTGAGATGCCTCAGTGATGCCTGGTGATCTCAGGGTCGATGCAGCCAGCCGAATCCTGAAGCCATATCTCGTCCCAGGAGATGCAGTCTCAGCAGCCGTCTGATCTACCTAATTCATTGCCTATCCACGAGGAGACCGTCGCGTGGCGGATAAGGGTGGCGGTGCCAGGGTTGGAGTGGACCAGAGTTCCACGTACGACTCACAGCAAGGTCGAGGAGCGGTCGAGGTCGAAAGCCAGATACGAAACACTTGGAGGTCATACGCCATTGCTAAGGAGGGAGCCTGCCGCACAGTAGCAACCCACCTTGCTTGTGGTGTTGTATAAGGTGAAAGGACGATTTCTTACTTGCGAGATCAATGTGAAGTTCAGGGTTCAGGGAGGTCTAAGTCTAAGCCAATCCAGATGGCATCCTGCCGGAGTCTCCTTTCTCTTTGTGGAGTGCCCGGAACACTGCCAGGTTAGCACCTTTTGTTTCAACATTTTAACTTATATACCTGCATGGAAAACCCAGTCCCAGAAAGACATGGATGGAACTCCCCAGTCCCAGCCATTAGAGGATTTCAAACAAGCCATTTTTGGAACAACCAGAACTGGCTTCCAGTTGGGCTTCCAGGTATGACCTTCACCATTTCAATCGCACCCAAATTTCCACCCTGTCCAAAAAGAGACCAAAGATCGTTCCCGGAAGAAGTCCAGGTCGGCCATGTTGGGGCCTCCACCCCCAAAAATGTCAGATCTAGATCAATCCAAGGGGTGAATGGAAGCCTATAGGTCGTGTGGGGTAGTGCAGCCAGCACACCCCGAAAACGGAGGGTCCTACTAGTCAGACTCCCACCCCCCCAAAAAATACATGGACCGACACTCTCCCGGTTCATCTCCGGCACCACTTCCACCATCCGAGCTCAGCAGCTCGGCCAGGACTCGGACATCGAAGCCACGGAAGAAGCCCAGCGGCCAGTCTGGTGGCCCTAGACATCGAAGGAACCGATCGGTGAGTGTGACATCTCGGGCCAGGTGCTTCGGCCATTTGGGAGAGTGTGTGAGTGAAAATGGTGTGTGTGCTGTGTGAGTTTAGTAGGATCCTTCTCCCTTTTTTCGCAGGGCTGGCTGTGTTCTTCTTACAAACAGAGGAGCGAACGACGGGGCGTTTGGGTGTTCGTTTGGTTTCGGGTTTTCGCAGCCAGCCTTGCTCGTGTGGTGGTGACCCTCGGGGATCTGGGAGGTTGGATAGGTCAGGAATTGATATTATATACCAGCACCGAAACCAACAGGTCTCCGAAATGGAGGTTTGTTAGGCTCTAACAGGTTTCAATTGGTGACCTGTTGGAGGTGCTGGTATATATATATATATTTATTTTTTTTGGTGATGCCCTCCCATACCCATACCAATCGGCTCGGCGTTCTCCAATCTGCGGGTGTTTTTTTCTGCATGCTGAGGAAAGGATAGGATGTTTGATGATGTTTGAGTTTGGGTGCCACAACACCTAATAAAGGCAAATCAAAAGACAAGCTTCCTGAACTGGACTGAGGAAGGTTTCCTTCCAGGTCTGGTGGTCTTTCTTGTGACTCCTCGATCCTTCCATGTCACCACCGGGTGTGTCTGCCGCCCAAGGTGGAGCCGGAGCCGTTGGAGCCCGAGGCGCCGGAGTTCGCCGCACGGGGGGTTCGGAGGAACGGATCCGGATCCGGATCCCAAGCAAGAGAGGTTGAACAGCCTTATAGCTATAGCCCATCCTATAAGGTACCACTATGGGGTCCTAGTTCAGGTCTCTCAACCTCTCGTACCAAGTCTTGTCACATGGCGTTGGGTGGTGTGGATCGTCCCATCCCAGGGGCAGTGGATGTGGATGTGACCACCCCGGAACCGGCACCCTCCATGGAGTCCGCACCCCAAGCTCTGTGACTGCTGGTCCGTGGCACCTCGAGCTCTGAATGCTTGGAACCCGTCATGGCCAAAGGGTCGAGACTACTTGACACCTTCCCCGAACCAGGAGCATCCTGTCTGGGTCTCCTGTCTGGACTACCCCCACTACTCAGGGGTCTCCCCCAAGATACCCCAGGCAGTTCTAGGTCGCTGGGATTCAGGCATTCCCAGTGGTTCCAAAGACACTCCTGGAGATGTTCAAGGGTGATCCACATGCTCCAAGTGTGTAACACACGCGAGATGCCTGGTCTCATGGGTGCTGACCATCCAAGCTCATGGAATTCCTTACTAGTGGCTACCGAGGGCCCGGAGGTACCATCTCCGCCCGGTGAGGGGGCACATGTGCCCGAGCACCGAGCATCATGGTTCGTCTCGGGTTGGACTTGGAGAACGGAAAGGTCGCACCAATTCCGCGGTTTTTGCCCTATCAGACCCTAGGCATTGGTCAGTCTTGGAAGTCCCCTAATGCTTGGGCTAGCAAGTGTGACTTCTCTTGGACTCTTACTATCTTCTGGAAGGGCGATAGTGATCGTCATCTAGACTTCTGCGGACCCTCAACGACAGGCTCTCCATTGAATCCCCAAATAGGATCAAACAGGCAAGTTTAGGGTTAAACAATGCAACCTTAAACTTGTATCTATGCTGTAATACTTGCCCCCCAAAGGGGAAAGAGGAGGTCCTGGATTTGGCCCTTTTCAGACACCCGTGGTTTTGTGGGTCTATGTCGGTCTGCAGATAAGCTAACTCGATTTGCTCTGACACCAAGAATTTGGTCCAACTAAGAGTGCAACATTTGCCCGGACTGGGTCCATGGCCTGTGCACACACTGTGCTTCTTAAACGTGATGGACATGCAGTGGCTTGCGGAGACAACTTCCGTGGATGCAAAAATTTCACCTTTGGAGGAAGGAATGTCATTCACCAAGATTTCGGCAGGCTATTATCATACTGTGCTTCTCCGAAGTGATGGCAAGGCTGTGGCCTGCGGATGTAATGATGATTCCCAATGCTATATTCCACCCTTGGAGGAAGGGATGTCATACATCCAGGTTTCAGCAGGCGGCGATCATACCGTACTTCTCCGAAGTGATGGTAATGCCGTGGCTTACGGAGGCAACTTTCATGGACAATGCAAGACTCCACCTTTGGAGGAAGGGATGTTATACATCCAGGTTTCTGCAGGTGCGGATCATACCGTGCTTCTCCGAAGTGATGAGATGGTAATGCTGTGACCTGCGGAAGTAATGATGATGGACAATGCAATATTCCACCTTTGGAGGAAGGGATGTTATACATCCAGGTTTCTGCAAGCGTGTCTCATACTGCGCTTCTCCGAAGTGATGGTAATGCTGTGACCTGCGGATGTAACGATGATGGACAAAGCAGTATTCCACCTTTGGAGGAAGGGATGTCATACATCCAGGTTTCTGCAGGCACGGTTCATACAGTGCTTCTCCGAAGTGATGGTAATGCTGTGACCTGCGGCTGTAATGTTGATGGACAATGCAATATTCCACCTTTGGAGGAAGGGATGCTATACATCCAGGTTTCTGCAGGCGTGTCTCATACTGCGCTTCTCCGAAGTGATGGTAATGCTGTGACCTGCGGATGTAATGATGATGGACAATGCAATATTCCATCTTTGGAGGAAGGAATGTCATACACCAGGGTTTTGGCAGGCGGATATCATACGGTTCTTCCCCGAAGTGATGGTAGTGTTGTGGTGTGTGGACGCAACAGTTCTGGACAATGCAACATTCCACCTCTGCAGCCTGGGCAGTTCTACACTGCCTCATCAGGCAGAGAACATATTTTCCAACTGGATTTTGTTCGTGAAGATGATGCAATCATGCTGACATGCTCAGATCTGGCTGGACATGAAGCGTTACGGTTGAAGGCACTTGGGGGTGATTTGGCTTGGGAGACACACAGGCGCATTGCGCAGGAACTGAGTATTAGCCTTCCGAGTCTTCAACTCGTCCTGCCCGATGGAGACTTGTTGGGCTCAGTATGCAGAGCAAACCCACTGGCCACCATTGCAGATGTGAGTGAAAACAAGCAGGTCGGAGAGCATGCCTCCAGCGTCAGATGAGAGAAACATGCCACCAAAGTGTAGAGTGTAGAGTCAAGAATGGTAGGATATGTATGTTACTGGACCATCCTGTTTGGATGTCCTGGCTGGACTACCCAGCTAGATATCCGGGAGGGTCCAGGCTCGTCCAGGTAGGTCTTGGCAGTTTCCGCACACTCTGCAGACTGTGAGTCCAATCCTTCACTGAACGGTCAGCATCTTCCAATTCCCAAATGGACCCATGGCACCAGGGGGACTGGCCATGGGTCATGGCAACGCGGGGACCCTTCTTTTTGAACTGAACATGAACAGAATAGACGCCCCCACACATGGTCAACCGCACGCCTTCAGGTCTTCAGGTTTGGATTCACCAAGCAATTCCCAGACACGACCCATGGGACTGCCATATATGCCCACATTGACCCCCTTTCAACCACCCCTGGCCTGATCGGCAGTCCTATGGCAGTCCCATGTGTCGTGTCTGGGATTGGATATTGCGATTCCTTCATTGAGGTTTACTGTGCAGCAAAACTAGTTGCGTCTGATCGCTCCATGAAATCCAGTGAACCAACCTTTGGTAAGTGGTTTGAGTGGTTTGGCCGCTGTGTGATTGGTTGTGATGGAATCCTCGGATTCCGACATTTTGGGGGCCTTGGCGCATGTTCAGCCCCCTCTGGGCCACATGACTTACACATTTGGAAGGGTTCAACCGCTCAGTTCACCTGAGACCACCGAGGCTCTCGGTGTGGCGAACGACGCGTTCTCGGTCGCCGCAAGCCGGAGAGTTCGTTCATCGGTGAGACCGTTTTGGACTTCTGTGGCTCATCACGGAGATCACATGAAGCCCATTCTCACAGGGTACAGGGTTTGGAAGATGATGTTGGAACCTCGATCCCTCAAGTCTTTGGTTTTAGCAGGTTTTCGAAGTGGCTGGGTGGGTGGCTGCACCCAGCCACTTCGACCGGGCCCATCGCAGGTTCACCATGCTGACGACCTTCCAGGCGCCGACCGAAGCTGCGGTACCCGGGACCCGAGTCCGGCCGAGTCTGGCGCAGAAAGGAAGCAACATGGATCCAAACCAGGACCCCCAGTCGGGGTGCTTCATGGACACCCCGAATCACCTCTGTCAGGGGGGCTATGAATGGACACCCGGATATCCGCTGGGAGATGGACTCTCTGTTCGAATGGACCCGGTTTCGACGGTTGGATCCCGATCTCTGCAACCGGATCGGATCCTTGGGGGGGGGTTCCATGTCGGATCCTCTTCTTCAAAGCTTCGATTCACGAAACAGCCGAGCGGTCGGAACAAGCGGTCGGACCGCGGGGCGGGTCCGCGGGTCCGCGGTCGGGTCGGGCTGAAGAGCGGAAGGGGTTCGGAGGAACCGGAGGAGGTTTCGGGTCTTCCTCTTCACACAATAGCATGATTTTCAGGACCAATGAAGATATGAGTCTGAAAACATGGATTTATAGTAGCGTGGAATTGTATATATTTTTTGTGGTTACGGTTGCTGGCATTATTCCAGTAGGTACTATTCTCACGTTTGTTGCTGGACATGGCCACAGCTCCTGACGGAAATAGCCACAACGGACAGGCAGAAAGTTGCTGTTGACATTGTGCATACTGTAATTATGATACTTGTATGGTGAAGTTGGCTGATCAGTCTTCAGTTGGTTGGCCGCCGTATGCCACGGGAGTCGAAATGAACCGCGTCTCTGGCCTTCATGGCACCCGCACGGTCTCGCCGTAGGGTTCCACGTCAGGCATTGGCCAAGCAATCCCTGATGCCATCGAGACCTATGAGTTGGATGTGCCCACAAGGCCAGCCCAGGGATGCCATGCTGGCCGAACGAAAGCCGCCGGTTTTTTCCGCCCGCAAGCGGTCCGTCCTCAGCCCTAGCAGACTAGCAGACTAGCACCATCTGAGTGTTTGCTGGGTGATTTGGACCTGAAATGATTTTAGACTGGGTGACCCCTGGTGAGCCTGATTCTGTCGAAAGTCGTGGAAGATCACTCCAGCACCTAATCACAATATCAGGTCCTCCTTCCATTCAAGAGGAGTCTCCCATCCCCACTAAGGGAACTTGATTGACTAGCTCCTACCTGCACCAAGCAAACCACATGATGCCTACAAACTTTGTTCGAACCTTTTCTATCTCAACATGCGTTCGCTTCACTGGTAGACCAAGTCCCCGCCTCACCCGCCCCAAGCTGCGAGCTCCAACCGCCGGGATGACCAAGGACAGAGTTGGAGCCGCCGGGGAGCTCCGGATCGATCGATGCATCCCTGGGCACCCACCGGTGGTGGCGCCGTGCCGGGTGGCGGGGTCGCGGTGGGGGTCGGAGAATCGGCCGATTCGGATGGGTGAGGTTTGAGTCGGGACACACATCAGAGCCGGTGAGAAGGGCGAGGACTCAACATGTTTAGATATTTCAAGATCGTGTTACGTGTTTCACCACATCAACTTGCAAGCTAGTTCAGAACCAATACGGAGTGTGTCAAGAGAGAGAGAGAGAGGAGAACATTTCTGCCTTTTCATGTATAAGACCAGCCCAGTTTGGCAGGATCTTTGCATGATTGGAAGATCTATATATAGGTATAGTATGATCCAGGCACTGTAGATTTGTGGGTCAAAACCCCGCTGCATGACTTAGTTAAATCCCTGTGACAAGACTGAGGTCCAAAAAAGGCATCGACCACCAGGCTTCCACTGGACGGTTTGGTGGTTTTTGCAGATGGGGTGATGTAGATTTTCCCGCGTTCCTGGGTGAATGTTGTGGCATAGGGAAGATGTTGTCTGTTTCCAGCTAGTGACCAAGGGCATCGCTACGAACGGAGCGATCGGACGCTACGAACGTAGCTCTTGGCCGTACTACTAGTAACAAGAAGCTACTAGTAGCAAGACTGAGGCGTCCGAAGTCCAGACAGACTCGTGGCGAAAACCAACCCCCGCGACCTTTCCGGGGCTTCCGGTGCCACCGAGGTCCTCCTCAAGGTGGCGAGCCCTGTGGGTGGGAGAGGGAGAGGAAGCTAAACCTAGGTGCGCGTCGGTCCAAGAGGCTGAGAGATGGCTGTGGGTCATGGCATCCAGGGGCTCTGTTTTACATGATTTCTTTCTTTTTCCCACCGAACATGAACAGACAAGAGAGATCGAGATTCTCGCGCATGGCCGGATTCTTCCGAGTCTGGAATAAATCCGAGGGGCCCCTAAGGGCGGTCTAATTATAGCTCCTTAGAGGTGATTCGGGGTATCCATTGATCACCCCTGCCCTTATCCGGGGGCCCTGGTATATGTTAGGTCACGTTAGGTCCAGTTGTCGCTGAAACACCAGACCTTTAGCCGAGCGGTTTCCAGAAGGATGGCTGAGACTCCCTGAAATCATCAAGGTTGCAGTGGTTTCTGAGGTTCACGGGTACAAGTTAGTTAACCCATGTTAACCCCAGGTTTGGTGGTTTAGAAGGACTTCCATATCAAAAAGACAACATCTTTGGGGTGCCAGTGCCATTTTTCACCTTTGAAAGCACTGTAAGTGTATGGCACCAGCTGAGCTGGTACCCGGATGTCTTATGGTCAATGGTGGTCTGATTCCTTGGGCCCATGCCGGGTGTTCTCCACGTCGTGAAGACGGAGTAGCCCTCCCGCATGAGCGAAGCAGCTCACACAGCTCACACGGGGGGGGGGCCTAGTGGATCTTCCTTCTTGCCATGTCCAATCCGGGGAGCGAAGCGAGTCATCGTTCATCGCCCCACCATGTTCATCGTTCTTTGGAGCAAGCCTTTGGGACTCAAGGACCGGTCGTTGGTTTGAACGCTCCTGACTCTGTGTCTGGTCGTAGCGAACTCCGATCCTGTTCGATCCGTTCTTTTTTTTAGATATTTTTTTTTGAACTGGCAAAGCTGTTTCATGGCTGGTTCATGGACTAGAAACAGCTTTGCCAGTCCATGAAACACCTAAGATCTTCACCTGTCCTTTTTCTTTGGACACCTAAGGTCTTCACCTGGACCTTTTCCTATTGTAAGGGGGCCCCTGAACGAACCCACGGCGCCCGGCGTGGCGTGGCCCGGTCCAGGTCGCAGATGGTGTCAGAGCAAGATGAGGCACGGGCGGAACACAGGTCCGTTCTCGCAGGTGGAACACACCTTGGAGAAGCAGGATCCAGCACCACGGAAATAGCCCCTTATCAAGGGGTGTCCATGAACCACCCCTTGCAGAAGCAGGGTTAGACCCTGCTTCTTCAACCACCCCCTGGCCATGGGGTGGTTAATAGATACCCCATGATACCCCCAAACCTCGTGTAGGGGCTATAATTAGGCACCCCGAACATGGGGGCCCTGGAAGAGGTTTCTTTTAAGGGTCTCGTTTTAGTCAGCTTCAGGAGCGTTGGAGCTTTGAGCACAAGGAAAAATCCCTGATATCGCCCTGATTTGGTCCTGCGTGTTTCTCTTCGTGCAGAAGCAGATTGGCTGGGTTTGGGAGAGCCATATCACTTCAGCCGTGAAAAACCTCACAGAAGCAGTGCGAAAGAGCTTGTCTTTGGATGGATCTTTCCATCTTGTCGTTGGAAGAATGGTAAACCCCTATGCCCAGACCGATGCCCAGACCTATGCCCTTCCCAGACCGGTCTGAGAAAAAGGGCAGAACCGGTCTGGGCAGATGTCGTAAATCCGTTCGTGAGAACCAGTGGGTAACCTCCGCCCCTCGCCCATCGCTTCACGTGCTCGCCCATCGCTTCGACAAACCTGGGGCCATGATGGCCACGAAGAGCTCTTCGATAGCTGGGCTCGTTGATTTTCGATACCTGGGCTCTTTGATGATAGGGGGCCGTA